ACAAGACTGTAGACCTCATATTGCTCCCTTTTCTCTGATGTTATTTGAGGATTAGATATTGGCTGGCTCGCCAATGAAAGCCAGGCAATTCTGTAGCAAATTCAGGAGGATTCTTTTCACACCAAAAGTACCACAAATCTGGAATGCTCTTCCTCCAGATTCTGCATTTTCTGGAAGCTGTCAACGGCAGAAATTAGCAGATTTTTGTCAGATAAAAGTTATCAAGAGATAAGCATTAAATGGAGTTGAGGAACAACAGCAGTGAGCTCATTGATTGGCAAAGCAGGTTTGAGGGGCGGAATAGCCTTCTCCTACTCCTAGTGTTGCTATTTACATTGCTTCTGTGGTATTTCTGTAGAAGGCAAGACACATTTCCCAGAAACTTTACATCAATGTCTGCAACTCCAGCTTTTTAACAGCAAGTGCATTCAATACCAAGCTAGTCTGGCCAAGTTTCAGCCTATGTGTTAAAACAAACTGAGTGCTCACAAGTCTGAACGAAAGTTTGTTTTCATATTCTGAGTCAGTGTGATTTGAATATGAGAATGTTATGATTACGACATGTAACTTTCATTCACGATGCATTAGTGACTTTGCTGAAGCGCAAGTCGGGTTGTACTTTGTACTGAAGCTGTCATGTAAAATGAAGCAAATCATTCCTACCAAAGATTGAACAGTTCCAGGCATGTCTTAATTCTTATTCAAATTATATTGCCGACTGTTCCGGTAGTTGTGAACTGCAATCAGTTACATTTTCACAGAATCACAGAATTATTACAACACACAGGAAGGTAATTTGGCTCATTGTGCTTGCAGCAGTTCTATTACCGAGGGTCAATTTCCTGCCTTTGCTCCATATCCCTACACCCCACTGCTATCCAAAAAGTCCAATGATCTCTTGAATGCCTCAACTGAACCTGCCTGCACCACATTTCCAGCCAGTTCATTCCATATCCTAACTACTTGCTGTGTGAAAACATTATTTTCTGACATCATTCTTGCTTTGTTGCACTTTATTTTAAATCTATGTCCTCTCATTCTTGTATCTGTTACAAGTGGAAACAGCTTCTCTCTCTCTCTCTCTCTATGCTGTCCAGCCCACTCATGATATCGACAACCTCGATCTGATCTCCTCTTAACCTTTTTCTCTCCAGGGAGAACAATCTTTCCTCATAACAGAAGTTCTCATCCCTGGAGCCATTCTAGTAAGAGATAGTAAGAAATGCCGATGATGGAATCTGAGACAACACAGTGTGGAGCTGGAAGAACACAGCAGGCCAGGCAGCATCAGAGGAGCAGGAAAGCTGACGTTTTGGGTCGGGACCCTTCTTCAGAAATTGGGGAGAGGGAAGGGGGCCCTGAAATAAATAGAGGGTGGGGGTTGGGCTGGGGAAGGTAGGTGGTACGGTGATAGGTGAGTGCAGGTAGGTAGTGGTGGGGATTAGTCAGTGAGGTGGGAGGGACGGATAGGTGGGAGAGAAGACGGATAGGTCAAGGAGGTGGAGATGAGACGGAGGGTTGGTCTTGGGATGAGCCCGGGGAGGGGAGATTTTGAAGCAAGTAAAATCCACATTGAGACCATTGGGTTGCAGGCTCCCAAGGCAGAATATGAGGTGCTGCTCCTCCAGTTTCCGGGTGGCATCGTCATGACACTGGAGGAGGCCCAGGATGGACATGTCGTCCAGGGAGTGGGAGGGGGAATTGAAGTGGTTTGCAACTGGAAGGTGTTGTCGTTTGTTGTGAACAGAGCGCAGGTGCCCCACAAAGCAGTCTCCGAGCCTCCGCTTGGTCTCACCAATGTACAGGAGGCCACATCAGGAGCAGCGGATACAATAGACCACATTAGCAGATGTGCAGGTGAACATCTGTTTAATGTGGGAGGTTTTCTTGGGGCCTGGGATGGGGGTGAGGGAGGAGGTGTAGGAGCAGGTGTAGCACCTCCTGCGGTTGCAGGGAAAGGTGCTGGGGGTGGTGGGGCTAGTGGGGAGTGTGGAGCGGTTGAGGGAGTCGTGGAGAGAGCGGTCCCTATGGAAGGCAGATAAGGGTGGGGAGGGAAATATATCCTTGGTTGTGGGGTCAGATTGCAGGTGGTGGAAGTGGCGGAGAATGATGCGTTGAATCCGGAGGTTGATGGGGTGATACGTGAGGACGAGGGGAATTCTGTCTTTGTTTTTATTGTGGGGAGGGGGTGTGAGGGCAGAGGTGTGGGAAACGCAAGAGATGTGGTTGAGGGCATTTTCAACAACTGAAGGGGGCAAGTTGCGGTCCTTGAAATACGAGGGCATCCCAGATACAAGACCTCCACCCTCACCTCCATCCCAGGCCCCAAGAAAACCTTCCGCATTAAACAGATGTTCACCTGAACATCCGTCAATGTGGTTATTGTATCCGCTGCTCCCAATGTGGCCTCCTGTACGTTGGTGAGACTAAGCGGAGGCTCAGAGACCGCTTTGCAGGGCACTTGCGCTCTGTTTGCGACAAATGACAACATCTTCCAGTCATGAACCATTTCAACTTCTCCTCCCACTCCTTGGACGACATGTCCATCCTGGGCTTCCTACAGTGTCACAACGACGCCATCCGGAAACTGGAGGAGCAGCACCTCGTATTCTGCTTGGGAACCCTACAACCCAATGGTCTCAATGTGGACTTTACTAGCTTCAAAATCTCCCCACCTCCGACCTCATCCCAAGACCAACCCTCCCTCTAATCCCTGCCTCCTTGACCTGCCCGTCTTTTCTCCCACCTATCCGTCCCTCCCACCTCACTGACCAATTCCCAACACTGCCTACCTGCACTCACATATCACCATCCCACCTACCTTCCCCAGTTCAACCCCTCCCTCTCTATTTATTTCGGAGCCCCCTTCCTCCTCCCCATTTCCGAAGAAGGGTCCCAACCCGAAACGTCAGCCTTCCTGCTCCTCTGATGCTGCCTGGCCTGCTGTGTTCCTCCAGCTGCACACTGTGTTATACCATTCCAGTAAATCGCTTCTGCACTCTCTCTCCAATGATTTGTAACGTTCCTATAATGTGGCGACCACAACTGTACACAAAACCCAACTGAATTCAACATCACCTCTCTGCTCTTGTGCTCTATGCCCCTATGAATACCGTTGAGGGCATTGCATACTTTATTCACTGCTATCTCTCCCTGTGTTGCCACCTTCAATGCTCTGTGCACAAATACACCCAGATCCCTCTGTAATGCACCCCCATTTAGAATTGCACCCTCTATTTTATATTAACTTTCAGAGTTCTTCCAACTAAAGTGCATCATTTCACACTTCTCTGCATTTCCGTGCAATTTTGCTTTATCATTTATTGCTTTTGCGAAACTTCAAATTGATTGTGTCCGTAAGTTTGAACGAATGATGAGGGATTATCTGTCATCATGCAGTGATTTATAAGCAAAGGATTATGTGAGGGTCCATGCAGGTCACTAGTTCTTGCTGAAAGCAATGTGCTTGTTTATTTCAAGGATATAAATAGACCAGAAACCTTTCACTGTCAAGTTCCTTCATCAAAACAAAAGCTACAGACCTGAAATGAAAACAGAAAATTCTGGAAGTAGTTGGACAGATCTGGCAGGATCTGTGGAGAGAGTTAATGTTTCAGGTCACGGACCTTTCTTCAGAACCTTTCTGTTCCCAGAGAAGCTCGTTAATCTGAAACATCAACTGCGATTCCACAGATGCTGCCAGACCTGCTGTGATTTTCCAGCCTTTTCTATTATTTCTGCCTCCCTCATGTTTCCAGATGGTGTGAGACTTGTATCTTCATGAGGTGTAGGTCCAGAGTTTTCATGGAAACGAGGCAGAAGGGAGTTATGCTTGTGTTCTAGGGTAGCTATACCCCCAGAGTCCCAAAAACCCGGCTGGGTATCTTTTGCCCCTCGACTCCCCTCAGGTTAGTGGGTCTGAGGGGCCAGTCAACAAGGCTGGGAGGTTAGTTGTCAACTATTGAGCTGGCTGACTGGACTTGTCTGTTTCAATGATGCTGATGGAAGAATAAATAGGAAACCTGGCAGAATACCCAAGCTCTTCCCTGAGAAATAGTGCCCTGTTATCATTTACCTCCACCTGAGGGTCAGTAAATAGCCTTGGTTTCTTGTGTCATCCAAAAAACTGCACCTCCAACTAAACTGAAAAGGATTCTTAGCTGTCGGGCTCAAGTCTGAGAAATGGGAAATTAACGTACAGCAGTCTGGCACAGGGACAAGATTGTCGCTGGCTAAAGTGATCGCATTCAAACATGAATAATTCTTACAGGACTTGAGATGGGAGATACAGGAGAGAGATGCATGCTTCTCCTGGTGGGGTGGGTGTTGTGTATACACAAGGGAAACAATCTCAAATAAAGTCTCAACTCAATTAGGATTGAAATGGGGAATAATCTTTTCATCTAAGGGATGGTGAACTTTTGGAATTCTCTGCACAGTGGGCTGCGGGAGCTTAGTCACTAAGTATGTTCAGATTTTCACATGACTAGATTTCCACATATTAAATCTATTAGGAAAATGGTATGGAAGCAAAAGATCAGCCATGTTCTTATTGAATAGCAGAGCAGACACAGAGGGTTGAATGGCCTACCACTGCTTCTATATCTTAGATTCTTATGACACCTTGCAAGCTTGGGTGGACAAAAAGAAATCAGCAAAAACCAGATTAAATAAACAAAAGGGAAACATTTTCACTTATATAACGCTGTTCATCATAACTGAATGCTTCAATGTGCTTTTACAACAAATGAAATACTCTTTGAACTGGAGTCACCTGTAGGAACAGGTTGGACAATCTGTGCAAAGCAAGCTCCCACAAACAGCAATATATTATGATGATCAAATATGTGGGTTGGATATTGGCCACATCACTGGGGAGAATACCATCTGCTCTTCTTCCAAAGATAATGAATCGGCCCAATTCACAAAGCCAGATATTCCTACATTACCAATCAGAGGACTGACGAACAGGGCATTATAACTATTGAGTTGTGTCTTACATTCTGAGGAAATGTTCAGGACATCCAGTGCCAGGTTGTATGATTTCACAGCGCTGTGGTAGTCTTCCCTCTGGAAGTGGTAATTTCCACGCTCCCGTTTCTGTTTACAGATCCGAATGCAGTCCGAAACCGACAGTGTTTTCAGGTCAGGAGCATTTCTGACATTGAGAAGCTGGACCTCGTATATTAATGTTGCATCTGCGGGGACATCAGGCACCCTGAAGTGCAAAAGGAAAGAACACATCAACAGTCATTCATCACCAACTATAACCTACATTAAAGAGAATGTTTAACACCAGCTGTTTTACCAACATTGTCAGTTTTGTACAATGGAAATATCAGATGTAAGCAGTTGGGTGGGGAAGTAAAAGGTACAGGCCAGTGACATCTTGTTATGAACTTTAGGCAAGAAAAGCCAGAATATACAGTGAATCCTAGGAGCTCAATAACCTGTGAAATCTTCTATGGAATCAAACAGTATTGGGCCACATCAAACTTCCCAGGGACATTGACCACCATGCACATCTTTAGCTTTACATTTTCAAATATTTGGCTTGAAATTGGGCTCCATTGTATCACTCCTACAGGTGTAACACTCGCACAAAAAGCACCAATTTCACAGCAATGTCCAAAGTTTGCCACAAAGCTCCCAATCCTATATAGACTTGGACAATTTTAACAGCGGCCCTACTTCAACCTAGCAGAGGCTTTAGACTCCTTTCATCTGTACATGTGACTAGGTGTCTGCTTATGCCCCTTGAAACTGTAAAGGCATGATACTTCTGGCACTGCACTGACTTCTCTCAGGATTCTTTGCGAGTCGGTGAGTTTATTTATCAGTGCTGTGATGTCTGGTTACAGCCCAGGTCATGAGCTCCCCTCCCAGTAGCTGCCACCAGGATATACCCTAAACTACTGCTGCTGAAGCAGGAAGCCTGGTTTCTGATTCCCTAAAATGGTTGAGCTGTCAGTGAAGTCATGACAGATACTGGGCTTCACCATTTACCAGCTTCAGGCCTCCCAGTTGGTCTGTGGGGTCCAGATCAGATCCTAAAGCCAGCCAAAGTGAATTTCAATTCAGTTACTTTCATTTGAAATGAGACAGTGGTGCTGGAGGAACACAGCAGGCCAGGCAACATCAGAGGAACAGGAAAGCTGACGTTTCGGTTTGGGACTCTTTCTTAAGAAGCTCCTCTGATGCTGCCTGGCCTGCTGTGTTCTTCCACCTCCATCCTGTGTTATCTCTGACTCCAGGATTGGCAGTTCTTACTATCTCTGACTTTTGTTTGAACCTCTTCTTTTTCCCCAGTGAATTTCCTCTTGTGCCTGTTATTGAAAAAGATGAGCTCTTTATTCTTTCAGGCTCGCAATGTAACTTCAAAGCCGACTCTAATAAAAGTAATGTAAAGCACCTTCTGATCATTCCAACCATTTGCCTAAGGGTATTTACAGATCTTGCTGCACAGCTCTGACACCTTTTCCTTTCCCTGTACACCATTCTGACTGCCCCTTTGATGGAGGTTTCTAAGTCTATGCCAATTCACAGCACTCTTGTCTTTCTGACAGGCCTTCTTTGGTACACGACTGAGACTGCCTAAGGTTATTTTGTAGTCGACACTTACAGTTAGCAGAAAATAAAGGCTTTTAGCCCATCAATGGAAGGTCTCAGGGCATTTCTGAAGAAGTCTCAATGGTATTAATGTATTTGATGGACCAACAGAGTCTCATACTTTTAGGACTGAATATGGGCACTAAAGTCTGCTGACAAACAAGTATAATAAAGATTATCTTATATGGCTTAGGAACGACATCCAATTCCCCTAAACGGGCCCAAAATAGATAACAACATGAGTTTTGTCACTTATGTATAATACTGTAGATGTTAATATTTTACATCTCTTTTGAGAAACACTTGTCAGAAAAGGAATAATAAAACAAGTTTATTTTAACATTGCATGCAATTTGAATTGTCCTTTATTGAAATTTTTACAGAATAAATACCAGAGTAGAAAATATTTGCAAGTGATGTTTATGAAAAATGTGGAGATAGTTTGGAGTCACTTTGTGCACAGTGGACAACATCTTGACTGTCAAGACTCTGTGTTTAGCTTCACTTACAATTGAATGGCTTTCTTTAAGGCCAATTCTTCTTTTGACTATAATAAGTATGACTAAAACATATCACGTCATTTCAACAAAAAATTTTGTCCTTCTTGGTCTCTGAATTTAAATTATCTCAGGCTAATTTCTCCATAAGCCTGTATGATCATTCTTAAAATTATCTATGGATTACCCTGGATGCTGAACGCTTCTGTCAACTCTTCCTCTTTTAAGGATATTATTTATTTTAGATTAAAGTAATTGTCAAAGGCTTTCAACAATTCTTCAAAGGCATCTAATGCTTCTTTTACAAGTTAGTAAGATACAATATTTTCAGTTTGTTCAACTTCTAATTTTGTATCAATTTTGAAAGTTATTTTGCTTCTTAAGAGTTATTTTCTCCAAGATGTCCAACTCTGTTTTATTTGGTCTTCGGGCTCCTCAAACCCATTCCACATTTCCATGATAATGTCACATTTCCATCTGCTCCTGTTAACCTTTCACCTGCGTGCTTATCAAGAATCTATTTATCTCTGTCTTAAAAATATTCAAAGATTCTCCTTCTATCATTTTAGAAGAAGAGAGTTGCAAAGACTCATGATGCTCTATGAAATAAAATTCTCCCTATATCTGTCATAAATGAGTGACACCTTACTTTTAAACAGTGTTCCCTAGTTCTAGATTTTCCCACAAGAGGAAATGTCTTTCCCATATGCACTATATCAAGATCCATCAGGATCGATCAAGTTACTTCTTATTCTTCTAAACTCCTGCAGATTCAAGCCCAGTCTGCCCATTCTTTCCTCAAAAGACAAACCACCCATTCTGGATACAAGTCTAGTAGACCTTCTCTGAACTGCTTCCAAATTGAACTAATTTACATCCTTGGTTAAAAAATGAGACCAATGCTGTGTATTCCAGGTGCGGTCTCGCCACTACCTTGTATAGCTGAAACATAACCTTCAATTCCACAAGTAACGTGGAGAGTTGCCACCTTTTTTTGCATCTACACTGGATGAATCCCATTATTTGCCACCTACACATTTTCCCAACGGCTTTGCTGAGTGAATCCTACTGCCTGTAGCTTTAATAATATTCTATGTTTCTTTCATAGTTTTCTCTGAATGATTCCCACAGTCTATGGTTTTGAAGGGTGCTTTCTGACTTTACCATAGTTATAATAATGGATCTACTGCCTTTTCTATGGCTTTGATAAAGTCTCCTAACTTCCTTCTTACATTAGACATTGTGAGTTTAGGCTTTAATTCTTGCTTTGTGATGTCCATGAGTGTGCCACCTCAGTTTGAATCGATTCTATGGCCTTTGATTTCTTTAGCTATAGCTGTACCTCCTGGTATCTATACTCACTTGTGGGGATGGGGTGTCAGCTAAGTTGAATCCACATTGCTCACTATGTTGCAAGGGCAACCCTCTGCACTGACCACAACGTTGTGGGAGACTATTGCTCACAATAGAGTTGGTTTGTTTCCACCATCCACTTTGAGGGTGAGGTTCTATAGGAACTTATTGATCTGGGTGGGATGAAAACCATTTGCTACGCTAATAAGAAGAGGCTGTTGTCTTAAACAAAATGTAGTTTATTGAAGGATAGCAACTAATTACATATTAAATAGATACAACACATATTGAATGATTTTAAGGAGTTAGATATAGTTCTCAGGCTAGAAGGATCAACGGGTAGGGGGAGAAAGCGGGAGCAGGGTACTGAGATGGATGATCAGCCATGATCATGCTGAAAGGTGGAGCAAGCTCAAAGGGCTGAATGGCCTACTCCTGCTCCTATTTCTATATTTCTTTCTTTCGATTGTTACAGAGACTATGAGGAGAACCCGGTGGTAGCTCTTACCCTTTTGAGATTCAAAGTTGTATTTCCCTCTCCTTGTCAAATGGCATCATGACAATGTACAGTGCTTAAGGCCCTCCTCGGTATTAACTTTTAAAGACCCTTCAATTCTTACACAACAGGCATATTTTTATTCTCTCATTCTCTGCTTACTGGGAGCCCAACAATGAACATTTTGAAAGAAAATGTTGCTGTTTTGATGAGGCAATAGCTGACAAAACCGTCATTATTGTCCATTCCCAGCTCCGTTTGAGAAAGTGGCAGTAACCCTTCTCCTTGTGTCAGTGTGGTCTATGTGGTGAAGGTCTGCCACAATTCTTTTCTTCTCAATCCCTTCTTGGGATGTTGGCATCATTGGCAAGGCCAGCGTTTTTGTCCATCCTTAATCACCATTGACAGCAGTTAAGAGTCAACCACATAGCTGGAAGCTCCAAGAACAATGATGTACCCATAATGAAGAAACTGTAAGCCATTTCGACAAGGCACCATGGTTTGATATCAATCATTTATTCAATGTTGCTGCAACATTGTGAGCTTGACTTGCAGTGCTACACTGGTAAGATTTAGGTGAAAGAGCATCTTTCAGATTGGAATTACTAGAAAAACTCAGCAGGTCTGGCAACATCTGTGGAGAGAAAGCGGAGTTAACGTTTTGAGTCCAATGACTTCTTCAGAATGTTCTGAAGAAGGGTGCTGGACCCAAAACGCTAACTCTGCTTTCTCTCCACAGAAGCTGCCAGACCTGCTGAGTTTCTCCAGTAATTTCTGCTTTTGTTTCAGATTTCCAGTGTCCGCAGCTTTTGGTTTTGTTTATTCAGGCTGGATTTCCCCAAACCTGTATTCACGGTAACCAAGACCTTTTGTCCACAATCACATGGTTTCAATGAAATGGATTGGCTGTCTCTCTCTTAGAAAAGGTTTTTCAAGGATTCCTAATGCTGCAATGGTATCATTAGTCCAGTCATCTGTGACTTGATTGCAATATTACTCTGATTTCATCAACTTTGTATAAACAAAGAACTAATTCAGCAAAATATGAAGGTGTGTGTATGTATGTGTGTGTCTGTGTGCGTGTGTCTGTGTTTATGTTATGTGTGTGCATCTATGTGTGTGCATCTGTGTGTGTGCGTCTGTGTGTCTGTGTGCGTCTGTGTGTGTGCATCTGTGTGTGTGTGCGTCTGTGTGTGTGTGTGCGTATGTATGTGCGTGTCTGTGTGCGTCTGTGTGTGTATATGTGTGTGCGTGCGTGTGTGT